GTATACCGGTATGATTGTGAACACTTAAAATGTTTAAGAAGATAAATTTTATATTGTGTTTATTTTACCACTATTTGCAAAGTCATCAGAAAATTTTTGTCAGATGTTTGCACATTTTTTCATGTCAATATTGGCATCAAGTGATTGTCTTTTTTTCATTCAGTTTGAGATCTTCCCAATTAGTAAAATGAGTAACTTTTTAAAACCCCTAGATGTTTCTGGATGCCAGTAGTTTGACCTGTAATCCTAGTTACTCAGTAGGCTAACATTTGAGGATTGTGGCTTGAAGCCAGCCCAGGCAGGAAAGTCTGGGAGACTCTTATCTCCCATTAACCACTAGAAAACCAGAAGTGGCACCATGGCTCAAAGTGATAGAGTACTAGCATTGAGCAAAAAGAGCTCAGGGACAGAATCCAGGCCCTGAGTTCAAGCCCCAGTACTGGCACAAACACAAAATAGGCAGTTCCCTGTGTGATGTACATGATTGTCATATCTACAAAGATGCTGAGGACAGAGAATACTGATTTCAAATAGGAGCCTCAGTCAAACAGGTTTGGTGGTTCACAACCATAATCCCAGCTTTTGGAAGGCTGAGGCAAGATAGTTATGTATTCAGCCTGGTCTACATAATGAGATCCTGGTTCAAAAACCAAAGGAAAAAAACATAAAACATAAAACATCACTCAGAATGGTGCAGTGCCTCCCGTAGGCAACAGGCCACTGTGTTTGTAATAAATTCTCTGTATGGGCCAAACGACTCATACTTTCCTTGAAAAAGCACTCAATCTCAACTACAATCTGTGTCTTTATTTTGTTCTGCCCATACAGAAGGAACCTCCTTTCCCTTTTCTATGTATCTATATTTTTATTTTTAGAGATATATTTCATTCCTATAGCCTAAAACATGCCATTTTAAGTATATTCTGTTCATTTTCTAACGCTAGAACACTTTCATCACTCTAAAAAGAAATCCTATAGCCATTCACAGTTGCTCCCGATTTCTCCTTCCTCCTATCCCAAGCCAGCACCAATAAATTTCTTGTCCTTATGAATCTGTCTGTGTAAACATTTCAATGAATCCCTATAGGTCTACCTTAAGGTCATGTTTGCTTGTTCATCTTTCCATTCATTTAGCTAAGATCACAACATGCATCCTCTGTATGAATGCTATGCCAGGCTGTGAACACATACAGGTCAATGACATTTTGCCTTCAGGAAACTCCTCAGCATAGTAGAGGGACAGAGAGCACTGTATCAGAAAGCTGTTATAGCTGAGCACCAGCAGCTCATGCTTGTAATCATAGCTACTCAGGAGGCTGAGATCTGAGGGTTCCTTAAAGCCAACCTGGACAGGAGAGTCCAGGAGTCTCTTATCTCTAATTAACCAGCAAAAAGCCAGAAATGGAGCTGTGGCTCAAGCAGTAGAGTGCTAGCCTTAAGCACAAAAGGTCCAGGACAATAACTAGGCCTTGAGTTCAAGCCCAGGAACTGCACAAAAAGGTGCTATTATGATGCCATGCACAAAGTGTCAGAGGAACAAAGAAGTTTCAGCAAGAAATTGTGGAGAGCCAGGGAAAACCTCACTGAGGAGCTCACAGTTGACTGGAGATGGAATCATTTGCTCATAAATTCATTCATTTATCTAGAACATTTTGTGTTGTATGTGTATTATGTGACAGGACTCTGGGGATATAAAAATGAACAAAAAATTTCTCAAAGAACAATCTGGAGTAGATAAATATGTAATATTTCCAAATTGTGTGCATGATATATTATAATGGTGGTAGGTAAAACTTGCTAGGGAAACACTGAGAAAGACATAACTCTGCTTGTGAATTTGAAGGAAAAGCAGACATTTCCAAGGTAGACAAGGGTGACAGGTGTTTTTAGCTGTGTGTGACAGTCCTGGGTCTTGAACTCAGGACACTGTCCCTGAGCTTCTTTTGCTCAAGGATAGCTCTCTACCACTTGAACCATAGCTCCACTTCCAGATTTTTTTTTAGAATACTTTATTGGAGATAAGGTTCTCCTGGACTTTCCTGCTGGGCCTGGCTTCTAACCTCAATCCTCAGATTTTAGTCTCCTGAGAAGCCAAGATAGCAGATGTGAGCCACTAGCACCCAGTTTATGGCATTTCTTTTTTACCCCCTGGGGGGTACTGGGATTTGAACTGAAAGCCTTAAACTTGGTAAGCAGGCACTCTACCATTTGTTTTAACTATATTGCTTTTGTTATTTTTTTCTAAAGCAGTTTGAAATTTATGCTCAGAAGGCCTGGCTTAAAATGCGCCTATTTATTCTTCCCACATAGCTTGAGTGGCAGGCACATCATTCACTATATCCAATTTTTGTTAGTTGATATGGGGTCTTTTTTTGTACACTGGTCCTGGAGATTGAACTCAGGGCCTGGGTACTGTCTCTAAGCTTCTTTTACTCAAGGCCAGCACTCTACCACTTGAGCCATAGCTCCACTTCTGCCTTATTTGGTATTTTACTGGAGATAAGAGTCTCATGAACATTCCTGCGCAGTCTTGCTTTGAACTGTTATCCTCAGATCTCAGCCTACTTCTCAGCCTACTGAGTAGTTAGGATTGCAGGTGTGAGCCACTAGCACCTGGCTGAAGATGGTATTTTAAGGCAAACTAGACCACCTCTGATCAGAATTGCATCGTGCCCCTCCTCTTTTAACTGCTAACATTATTTATTGATTATCAAATATAGTAATAAAAATGAGTAAACAAGCAAAATTCAAAAAAAACAAATAATAAGCCAGTAAACAAATTAACAACTATATTAGAGGCAAGTATTCCAAAGAGTAACTTCTTGGGCAAAAATATGGTTGAATAATTTAATGTGTTCCATTGTGACAGACATTGTAGATATTATCTGAAAAATCTGCTAACTTACAATTGATTGAAATGCTCAAATATCAAATAATCTCTGAAGGATCTAGGGAAAGAGTGCCTCAGACAGTACTTCACCACTCTCCTACTAAAAACTTGCCAAAGTTCACATGGTCAATATTAAAGCTTTTTTTTTTGTCAGTTGTGGAGCTTGAACTTTTAGCCAGGGATTTGTCACTGAGCTCTTTTGCTCAATGCTAGCACTCTACTACTTTGAGGCACAGTTCTACTTCCAGTTTTCTGGTGGTCAATTGGAGATGAGTCCTATAGACAAGATGCAGAATACTTAAATAGGGATACAGGTTGACCCATTGTAACAATGAGATGTACAAGACACTATGTTGAAAATTAAACTTTACAATTTAGGCAGGGAGGGGAGGAGGGGGGAAGAGGGAGAGTGTAGTTGTGGAGATAGGAGGGAAGGGAAGGTAGGGGAAAAACAAAGGAGGAGGTAACAATGCTTGATAGGAAATGTACTCATTACCTTGCTCCTGTAACTGTACAGTATTTTTACAATAAAAAACATACTTAAAAAAAAAAGATTCCCATGGACTTTCCTGCCCTGGCTGGCTTCAAAACATGACATGGACTTTCCTCAGATCTCAGCCAGGGCCCAGCAATATTGGGGCTCTTTATAGTGAAATTTTTCATGTAACGATCTGATCGACTATTGTTAATAAGTACAATAATTATAAATTATTTTTGTCATTTTAAGTACAAACTATGTATTCATGATATAAGTGATGTAAACTATAGTCTCACTACCAGCAAATGATCATATATACATGCATTAACACTTAACACTACTTTATATTGCCTAGACTTAATGTATAGAAATGACACATATGTAATTTGCAATGGAACTCATACTCTTTGCCCTACTGTCATACCAGGCATTAGAGTATTAGATCCTTGAAATAGACTCTCCACCACTGTGCTCCTCTTCTACTGAATTAGAGCATCCAATATTTGTGTCACTCAGAGTAGCTCATAATCACATATCTTAGCAAGTAATTTCTCCCCGTGATTCTGAGGATGGAACCCAGGGCCTCTGAAATGCTAAGCAAGCACTCATCTACCTAGCCTGTGAAGTAGTGTTTGTATGTGACATGCCTTGATTCCCCAAAAGTACTGTGTGTGTCTTTTGGAATTGAGAACTTTGTCTCATCTCTCTCAATGTCTTCATTAGCATAGTATTTAGGCATAGTACTTTTCTATGGATCTAAATAAATGACAGTGGGCCAAGGTGGCACAGGCCAATAGTCTCAGTACTTGGGGACTTGAGTAGTGCCTTGAACCCAGGAGTTGAGGAATATTGTGTGCAACATAGCAGGACCCTATCTCAAACAAGAGAAAGGAAAATCAGTGACAGCTGAGATAACATCCTTGACCTTTAGGAAGACACTGCCAAAACTTCTATCACATATCCTCATCGAGGGACCCAAGGATCCAACACTATCATATAGATGAACAGCTTCAATGTGAATGCTGGCTTCATGCTTCATCTCCTGTCCGAGAGCCAGAAAGTAGCTCTTTCCACCAATCCTTTCCACTATTGCTAAGTTCTTAGAAGCACCTAATATAATCTTGTCATCAGTCATGTCAAAAGCCACTGATAAGGCTAAGGGACCATCTTAGAATATGCCCCTTGTTCATAGCTTGCTAGATGCTGTCAGCACTAAAAACCAATATGATTTCTATTCCAGGAATAGGAATAGATTCTGGTCAAGGAAATTAAGATTCAATAAAGCTGCTTCTTGACCTCCTGTGAAAAATAGATGAAGATGGTGAGGAGGTACCTGTCTGTGGACAGTATCATGGGAAGCTCCAGTCTGACACGAGCTTTGTCATGTTTCCAGTCTCTTTTTTTCAGTAGAGGAGGGCCTCATTGTCTGACCATTTTTACATCACTTCAGGAGACCTTGCTACAGAACATTCTATAGCATCAAACCTTCCATGTGCCCTCCCACTGTCCCTCAGCCCAGCCTTCCTTAGTGCTAGAGGCAGCAAAGTGGTTTCCCAGTAACAAGATGTGGCATAGATAGTACTCCAATGAGTTAGTAACAAGTGTAAAACCTTTACTCTTCTTGGATTTCAGGATGGCTACCCAGAAACAGAGATTGTCTGGCTGATGACCAAGTCCTGGAATATTGGAATATTTATGTATACCAAGAACAAGTTAATATCAGTTGAAAAATGGTGTGGCCTGGCATTGTGTTTTCTGAACCAACTTCGCTTGCTCAAGACACGCTATGAGATACGGGTGAGGGGAGGGTGTGTGCGGCAGGTTGGGGCTCTCATAAGGAGCCACCCGACTTTCTTCTATTAAGCAAGGATCTTCATCTTGTTGCCTTCTGTGGGTCCATATCTCTTCAAGAGGCAGGGCATTGTGAGTGGAAACCAGAAAGGATGGAAACCAGGGAGAAACTTGGGCTAGCAAATGGGATCTGATTAAAAGGCCTGCCTAGAATGAGCTCTGCAAAGATGCATCACTGTCAATACCAGTGGAGGTTGAGGGGGGCTTGCCTCTGTTCCAACCACTGTGGCTTAAATAGGCCCTTTCTCCGTGATCTAGTCTCAGTTGCAAGCAATGGGACCATTAGCTAACCAGGAGAGCTTGGGTAGGGGAAGATTCTTGTTAGCAAATTAAAGGAAAGAATCTTTCCTGTTTTAAGTGCCTTCTCACTTGCAAGAGCTGCCTGTTCCTAATGTAGAAGACCTAGTGTCTGGAATCCCGTTTTAATTTTGTTTACTATTTCTTTGTGTATGTCTGTGAGTCCTGAGGCTTGAATTCTGGGCTTGGCACTGTCTCTGAGCTCTTTTGCTCAATCACTTTGAAACACAGCTACATTTCCAGTTTTCTGGTAGTTAGTTAAGATAAGAGTCTCATAGACTTTGCTGCCCTGGCTGACTTTGAACTATGATCCTCAGATCTCAGCCTCCTGAGTAGCTAGGATTACAGTCATGAGCATCAACATCTGTAAGTTAGTGCTCTACCACTGGCTCTTTTGCTCTACCACTGGAGCCAGAGCTACAGTTTCAGCTTTTTGATGAATAATTGGGGAAAAGAGTCTCATGGACTTTCCTACCTTGGCTAGTTTTGAACTGAGAGCCTTAGATCTCAGCTTTCTGAGTAGCTAGGATTACAGGTATGAGCCACCGGTATCTTGTTGGAATTCTTCTTTTTAAGAGAGGGTTCAATTGGCTCCTAAAATCTTAGATTAAGGGCCAGACTTTTGGGCCATTATCATGAGTCTGAGACGCCTAAAAAAATCTATTTACTATTTCCTTCCCCAGATGAATGCTCTGTATAGTGAGGTCCTGGAACTTATAAATAAAGAGAAAACATTCCCTATTTCATGAAACATGAGAGCGATTGGAGCCTATTCATCGAGCAGACAGGATCACAGCAGTGGCAATATGTATCATCCTGACCTACTAAATATTTCTGGTTTTTTGTACTCCAAATGTTCCTTTGAGTTTCTGGTTTTGTTTTTTGGATCCTTCTTTCATGTTGTTGAGCAAAATTTTCTCAAATAAAAGTATTATGATTTTTACCTCAGTGACTGGCTTCATATCTAGTGGGCAAGTGAAATTTTCACAGTGCTAAAGGATTGTACTGAAATACCCCATGCTGAAGTAAGGTGCTTCATGCCACCATGTGAACAGAGGGGAGTCCTCATCCCAGTTCAACACGGGGAGTATTCGATTCCCAGAGTCTCAAATTTCCAATGCTGAAACAAAGGAGAGAACCATAAGCTTCACCAGGAAGACCTTCATGGTCATGAGATCCAGCACTTCTGATTCATGAAGTCTTTCTCTGATGGTCTTGAGAAATGGTTGCCTAGTCTGTATTAGTGTGTATCATCCTTAGAGCCAGTTTTACCTATATGAAATATTCTGTCACAGAAAAGAAAGAAGCTGGGCACCAGTGGCTCACACCTATAATCCTAGCTACTCAAGAGTCTGACATCTGAGGATCATGGTTCAAAGCCATACAGGGCAGCAAAGTCTGTGAGACTCTTCAATTAATTACCAGAAAGATACAAGTGGAGCTGTGGCTCAAGTGGTAGAACACTAGCATTGAGTGAAAAATCTAGGGGACAGCATCCACTTAGATCTTGAGTTCAAGCTCCAGTGTCCGCACCAAAAAAATTAAAAAATAAAAAGAGGAAATCAGCTGTATACAATTCTACCATGGAATCCACAGTTCTTATCCAGACTCTACTGTTGGTGCTGATAGTTCTTCCTAAATTCAGGGTCATGAGATGAACTCTGTTTCCCTGTGACTTTTATATCTTGAAGCAACCTTGACATTTTGGAAAAGTATGAGCTAATTAATAACATTGTAGCAGGAACCTCAGATTAGGTGGGTCTGTTGTCCTACAGATTAGATCTCCACTGTGCCTTGAGCAGGCACAAAGAGATCCCCAAGCCCCCCAGCCGCAGAGCCCCAGCAGTAATTTGCCCTGTTAGTGCTTCAAGTTACCATACTATCTGACAGGTTTCTCTGGTATGCAGTTAATTGATAAATATTTTGTCCTTTGTAATTAGTAAGTAATTACAAAGTATTTGGTGGGAGTTATTTTGAGACTAAGTAAATATCCTGTACCTCATTAAACTTTTACATGCTCATTTGAGCGTGATAATTCTGACCTGAATCCATTTTTGTGAAGGCTGCTTAATGTGATTTTCCTGTTTCCATTATTCCCTCCTGGTTTATTAGTTGGCTTTGGTAAGGTAAAACTTTTTCTTCTCTACTACTCCTGTTTATTATTATTGTTGTTGTTATTGTTGTTGTTATTTTGTAGTGCTGGGAATCAAATCCAGGGCTTGCACTTTCTTTCTACCACTGAGCTATATCCCCAGCCCACACCCACTTTTTTAAATTACTTTTTTCATGCTTTTAAAATACATTGTAGTGCACACTAAGCGAATTCAATATTTTATTCAGTGGATAAGAATTCACAATTATCAGCTGGGTGCCAGTGGCTCATACCTGTAATCCTAGCTACTTAGAAGGCTGAGATCTAAGAATCGTGATTCAAAGCCAACCTAGGAAGGAAAGTCTGTGAGATTCTGATCTCCAGTTAACCAGCCAAATGCTGGAAGTAAAGCTGTGGCTCAAGTGGTAGAGTGCTAGCCTGAAGCAAAAAAGCCAAGTGAGAGTGTGAGGCCCTGAGTTCCACTATCAACACATAAAAAATTATTTACTGGTATCATTCATGATTTTGCTACCTAGAGCTGGATTCTGTGGCCTGCTGGAATGGCCCCGTCATCTCTGAGCATTTCCTTACTTTCTGGCATAGTGAAATGTTATAGGATCACCTTGTGCTTTCCCAGCTGACTTGGAGTCAGTCATTTCTCCAAATCCTGCTTCCTTTCAATGGAGATGGTAGTTTGTGCCTCCTGAGGTCTGGATCCCAGGTGTATTTATTGTTATTGACGTGCTATTGTTTCTAGATATCCTCAGTGGATAGAGCTAGGAAATAAATGTGTATATGCATATACTCAAATGTACACATATACATGCTTATCCATAAACATACTCTCTTTTAAACCTTGAGATCATAATGATACCTCCATTTTATTTTACTTGCTTTTTTTCTGGAACATTTAAATTAAGAAAAATTTATTTGGGGCTGGGAAGGTAGCTCAGTGGTAGAGCACTTGCCTTGCATGCATGAGGCCCTGGGTTCCATTCCCCAGCACCACATAGGCAAAAAGAAAAAAAGCCAGAAGTGGCACTGTGGCTCAAGTGGTAGAGTGCTAGCCTTGAGCTGAAGAGCTGAGGGACAGCGCCCGGGCCCAGAGTTCAAGCCCCATAACTGGACCCCCCCAAAAAAAAGAAAAGAAAAAGAAAAATTTATTTGAGCTGGGTATTGGTGTCTCATACCTGTAATCTTAGTTATTTGGGAGACTGAAATCAGGAGGATTATAGTTTGAGGCCAGCCCAGGCAAAAATGTTTTAAAAAATGTTCCTTCTAGCACTGGGCACTAGTGATTTATGCCTATAATCCTAGCTATTCAGGAGACTGAGATCTGAAGATCATGGTTCAAAGCCAGCCCCGGCAGAAAAGCCCTCCTCAGACTATTATCTACAATTAATCACTAAAAGCCAGAAGTGGAGCTGTGGTTCAAAGTGGTAGAGCAGTAGCCTTGAGCAAAAGAGCTCAGGGACAGTGTCCAGGCCTTGAGTTCAAACCACAAAACCAAAAACAACAAAAAAGGCTCCTTCTCTTTTTGTTGTAATTGTTATCATAAATGTTTTCCTAATTTTATTGTTATTAAAAAGGTGACGTACAGAAGGGTTACAGAAGTCGGGTATAATACATTTCTCTTTGGACAATGTCATCCCTTCCCTTGCACTCTCCCAGTTTCTCCCTTCCATCTCCACCCACAAATTGCATGGTTCATCTTCAATACTGTCTAGTGAGCACCACTGCTGCATTTGTTCACCCTTTGTCCCTCCATTTCTGTGCCCCCTAACCTTCCCAAAGACAGATAAGCAAACAAGACAAAAAAGAAAGAAAACAAAACAACAGAGAAAAAAACCTGTTTCCATTTCTTGAAGTTCATTTTGATCAGTATTATTTTATATAATCAGATGCACATAAGCATTGTACCTTTGTGTTTCTCCTCTAAGAATATCCTCCATTGGTCACGTGTGTAGATGACTACAGTCATTTTATTTGATTTGAACTTTAATTTAGAGACAGAGTCTTGCTGTATAGTCCTGGCTGGCATTGAACTCTGGATCCTCTTGCTTCAGCCTCCCAAACACTGGGATAACAGGTATTGTGCCATTATGCTCAACTACATTTTCAATCTAACCCCACTGTATTTATTTTTGTCCTCTTTCTTTTTAGTATTACAACTCAGCATTGAGAAATGTAGACTTCATTAAGCTCAAATATTTGGTTATTTGTCCATATGCCCAATTTCATGGGCATGTAGCCTGTCTCCTCAGTCCTAGCCCTGCCATCTTGACCAAGCCCCTTTGGCTGAGCCTCAGTGACACTGGTCGAGTCATCTATGGAACCCTGAGCCCTAGTTCAGAGAGCAAGCCAGATGAAATCACACCCCAATACTGATGCTCACCCCAACCCCTACCAAGGAGACTTGGGTCTACTCTAGCATTTAAACAGGCACTTCATTTTATGGCCTCTTTGGAACTTCTGTTTACCCTCCCCTGTCTTCACCCGAGTTTCCCTCTTCTTACTTTGAGAAGTCAGCCCACACGTCAGTTCCTCAGAGCATTTCCCTGACTAGGTCCATTTCTCTCTTTCAGGGCTCTCTCAACATTCCATTTGATTCTTCACAGCTTTTGAATATACATTCATCTGTGGAATAACTTGATTAGTGTCTGTGTCCTCCAACAGTCTTTAAGCTCCAGGAGCATAGACAATATGCTTTCTCTATACTATATTTCCAGACTCTTTCATTTACCATAAATATTATTGAAAGAATTACTAAAAATTTCCAAGCCTGTCTTTCACATATACTGCGGTTCATTAATGTTGTCCCTTTCTTCAAGATCTAATTAAATTTATCAGAGGCCAGACACTGTAATACATACCTGTGGTCCCAATGCCTCAGAAGGGAAAGGCAGGAGGATTTCTAGAACCCAGGAGTTTGAGACTAGCATGGGCAACGCGGTCACACTCAATGTAAAAAAAAATTAGGCAGGGGTGAAAATAGTCATAAAATTCAGTGCATATTTTACAAAATTAAGAAAATTGAGGGAAAGGGTGAGGTTGGGAGGGATGGAGGAGTATGATGAAAGGGGTGACATTGATCGAGTTTCATTGTCTTCATATACTTCCACTTCACTGAATGGCAACTCCTTTGTACCATTATTTAAAGATAAAACTAAAATAAGCGTTGCTTTTTGTTTTGATTTCACTTGTTTTATTTGCTCTTTTTTTCTATCTTTTAAAGGGGATAAAGTGGCACAGAAATGGAGGGAGGAAGGGTGAACAAATGCAGGCATGATACTCACTAGACACTGTGTGCAAAACGAACTATGAAACTTGTGGGCAGTGATGGCAAGGGAAAACTGGGGGAAAGTAAAGGAAGAATAAGAAATGTACTTATAGCCAGGCACTGGTGGCTCGCGCCTTAATCTTAGCTACTCAGGAGGCTGAGATCTGAGGTTTGCGGTTCAAAGCCAGCCCGGGCAGGAAAGACCGTAAGACTCCTATCTCCAATAAACCACCAGAAAACTGGAAGTGGCGCTGTAGCTCAAGTGGTAGAGCACTACCCTTGAGTTGAAGAGCTGAGGGACAGCGCCCAGACCCAGAGTTCAAGCCCCACAACTGACAAAAAATTTCAAAAAGAAATGTACTTATTACCTGACTTATGAAATTATAACCCTTCTGTATAACACTTTAATAACAATAAATTTATTTTAAAAATAAAAGATTTAAATAATGAAAATAAATTTAAAATAAATATGTGAATATGATATTGCTCTTGCCAGTGGGTCTTTTTGGGTAATGTCTATCCTTCGTATGGTATTATCTCTCTCAAGCTCATTTATCTGCATATTCGCTCAGTATGCCAGTAATGTCTTGAACTGGTATTCAGGAGGCTAATATCTGAAAATCATGGTTCAAAGCCACCCCAGAAAGGAAAGGCTATGAGACTCTTATCTCCAATTAACACCCAGAAAACTGAAAGTGGAGCTATGACTCAAAGTGGTAGAGCACTAATGTTGAGCACAAAAGCTCAAGGACAGCACGCAGGCCCTGAGTTCAAGCTCTGCAACTGACAAAAAAAACCACTATACTGTCTGCATTACCCAAGGAGATTACCAGCAATGATTTTTCAATGACTGCTGGAGCTTAGCTATATTGCTTCAACATTCACCAACTTCACTATCTGCCCTGATTTACTCAGCTTAGTGCAGAAAGTGCTGAGCTCATGCTATATTGAGCTCTTGCAAGCTCAAGGATTGTGTACATACTTTGTACTTCTCTGCACTCTCATATAAACCATCCCTCCCAGTAACACTTTCTAGAAACTTATCTCTGAGATGAAGATATAACTACCTGTCTACAGCTTGTGGAATTCAGCTTCTTCTCTTTAGAAAAGGAGCATATTAAGCTGGGCATTGTCATGCATGCCTATAATCCAATTACACAAGGAGGCTGAGACAAGAGTTCAGCCAGCAGGGGCTACATAGCAAGTCCCTGTTTGTTCGAGTATATTAGACTTTGCCAGAAAAGCACAGAGGCATCCAGGTATAAAGAACAAAGATAAGGTTTATTGCCAGTAAAGGGACTGGCAAGACCCCTTCTCACAAGAGAGAAATGGTGGCTATTGTCTGAGGTGACCTATATAACTTAGGAAGTTTAGGAGGGGTAGAAGGAGCTAGGAGGCAGAGACCCTGCTGTGGATGTGTGGACCAGGGGTAAACCAGGATTTATGGCTGCCGCCGAAGTAGTAGACAAGGGGCCCTGCAGCTGCCCAGACCTGAAGGTCACTCTAAGGGAATCTTGCTGCCTTATATGGTGGCAGCTGCCCCAGAGAAGTGCCATCCCAAGGCAAAGAGGGTTGGAGGCTGATTATTTACTGCCTTTACTACATGGGCCTGGTGTTGCCTAGGAAGGGACATGCTAAACTGTGGAAGGGAGAAAGAGTGCGCTAAGCTATGAGAAGGGAGCTCATTGGGCTAACACTGTCTCAAAAACACTAAAATTAGTAGTAATTATTATAGCTGAATAATTGAAAAGATAAAATGAAACAATATGTCCTTCTTCGGGCTTCTATTATCTCTTAATTTCCCAATTCCTAAAGGTCACAGAGACTAGGTCAGTGCAGCTTCTCCCAGTACATTTATATGTTGTGGCTGGGCCTACAAGCTCAAAATCCGTTTCCCACCTGAGCACTCTCTTGCAGTTGTCTTTCCAAGTTCATCAGTTGCCTCCTTCCATGATGTCTCCAAGTCTAGTGGACAGTATGAACGACAGAAAAGACTAAAGCAATGCAGATTAGAGAATGAATGCTCTTTCTTAGTCTAAGCATGACAGCATTTTTTTGGAGTGTCTGCCCTGTGGCTTAAACTCAGGGCTTGAGCATTATCCAAGACATTTTTTGCTCAAGGTTAGAACGCTAACACTAGAGCCACAGCTCCACTTCTGGCTTTTTGTTGGTTAATTGGACACGAGTCTCATGAACTTTCTTGTCCAGACTGGCTTTGAACATGATCTTCAGAACTCAGCCTCCTGAGTAGCTAGTATTAAAAGTGTGAACCATCAGCTTCGGATGAAAGATAGCATTTTATACCTTTTGTGGAATTTTTTTCTTGCTGTTTAGAATTGAATGAATTGATTTTTTTCAAAAAATTGTTGTTATTATAAAAGCTATGTACAAAGGGGTTACCATTTTTAAGTCAGGTAATGAATACATTTTTTTGGACAATGTTGTTCCTTCCTTTGTTCTCTGCCAGCTTTTCCCTCCTGTCCCTGCCCACGAGTTGTATAGTTCATTTTCAACATAGTTTCTATTGAACACCATTGCTGCACTTGTTCACCCTATGTCCCTCCATTTTTGTTCCCTCCCCTTTATGCCCCAAAGCCAGAAAATGAATAAGTAAGAAAAATGCAAAAGAAAAAAAATTCTTGCTTCCATTTCCTGGAGTTCATTTTGATAAATATCATTTTGTATGATCAGGTACACATAGGTATTGTTGTGTTATGAAAATTAAAGATATGATATTTGATTTAGGTACTTAGGCCATGTAGAAATTAGAAGTGTCTGCTTATCAATAACGGATGATATTGTAATTTTGGTTTTGTGGTGGTAAAATCCAACTGTAACTCTGCTATAACCAAATGCATCACTCCCATCTTTTGTTCTATTCCTCAAGCTTCCCATCAACAGTCCCTAGGCAGAAGGCCCTGGCAACTATTGTAAACACTTCTGGAGTGACCATTGGCAGAAATAGACAAAGAGCCCAACTGCGCAGGCTTAAGTCCTCCCCCCCCACCCCCCACCCCCGTCCCCTTTCCGGTTAAAAAATGCTTAAAAAGCTGATGCAGGCCATGCCCTGAGATCCCGACCTTGGGCACAGTCCTGATGCATCAGAGCGTTGTTCTTTTGCTCAAATAAAATTTTGTTTAAACCACAAACCAAAAAAAAAAAAACCACAAATCAGTGGTTTTTGATCCTACTGTCTATTGATTCCTGGACAATACAACAGCATTTTTCCTTTCTCTTCCTCTCCTAAGAGTATCCTCCTTTGGTTTCACTGGGTATGAATGCCTAGAGTATTGTATAATTTATCATATATTTTTATCTAGCTTCCTCATATGAGAGAAAACATGCAGTTTTAGTCTCTGAGCTTGCTTACCTCACTTAACAGGATTTGTTCTAGGTTCATCCATTTCCCTTCAAATAACATAGTACTGTTCTTTCTAATGTGTAAAATTCCACTGTGTATAGGTACCACATTTTTTGGATCCACTCATCTATTGTAGGGCATCTGTGGCTGCTGTTTCCATATGTTGGCTATTGTGAATAGTGCAGCAATGAACATGAGTGTGCAAGTGTCTTTATGGTATCCTGGCTTAGGATGTTCTGGGTAGATGTCTAGGAGTGGTATGGCTGGGTCCTAGAGAAGAACTGTGTTTAGTATTTTGAGGAATCTCCAAACTACTGTTGAGAGTGGTTAGGGTTCCTTTCTCCCACATCCTCACTAATATTTGTTGTTGTTGGAATTCTCAATGTTAGCTAATCCAATTGGTGTGAGATGGTATCTCAAAGCTGTTTTGATTTGCATTTCCATAATGGCCAGGGATGATGAGCATATACTCATGTGTTTCTTTGCCATTCTTACCTCTTATTCTAAGTCTCTCCTTAGCTCCTTTGCCCATTTAGTGATTGGTTTATTAGCTATATTAGTGGTTAGATGCTTGAGTTCCTTGTGTATTGTGGATATTAGGCCTTTGTGGGATGTATTGCTGGTAAAGATCTTCTCCCCATCAGTTGACTCTTTCTGGTTTAATAACTATGTCCTTTGCAAGGCAGAAACTTTTTATTTTGATGTAATCCCATTTGTCAAGTCTTTCTCCTATCTGCTGTGCCCCTG